ATCAGGGTGGGACAGTCTATCCACCTTCCTGGAGTGATTTCCAGGACACTTTCCCCTGTTAGTGCGTGAAATTCCCAGGATCACTCCTGGATTTTATTTTATTTTTCTCCTCCCAAACTGGGAAGCATTGGGTGCAACCACAGACCCTCCTCACAGCTCACCCAACACATCAGGTTAAGTCCCCTGAACCAGCTCTAAGGATCTCATTCCTTTGTAAGCAGCAAATTCAGCCCCCAGCACACTCTTTAAAATGCAAATGACCCTGAGAAGTTCTAAATGATTAGCTGGATTGTGTGAAAGTTCTTCCCTAGACACAGATGGCCTAAGAGGCTTTTCTAGTGAGTGAGTGAGGGGGAAAAGAGCCTGCAGCTGGGGAGGTTCCCAGGGTACTCACATTTTTTGTTTTTGTTTTTGTTTTTGTTTTGTTTTTTTCTCCCATAGACAGTTTCTCTAAACTGTTGCTGAACAGTGTTGCATAGCCAGCCAGGCCTGGTGGTTCAAACCTATAACCTTCAGTTTATGCTGAGGCATGATAGTCACAATTTCAAAGCCTGTATGGGCTACAGAGTGAATTTAAGGCTGGCCTGGGCAAGTAGTTGAGACTTTGTCTCAAAAAGACAAAGTATGGGGGGCTGGAGAGATGGCTCAGAGATTAACAGCATCTACTACGCTTTCAGAGGTCCTGAGTTCAGTTTCCATCAACCACATGGTGGCTCACAACCATCTATAATGAGATCTGGTGCCCTATTGACATGCAGGCAAACATGCAGACAGAACACTGTGTAAATAATAAATAAATAAATATTGTTAGAAAAGAAAGTACAAAAAGAGCTGGGGGTATAGCTATACACAGCCTGTGTCCTGGGTTCTACTAACAACAATAAAAGTGCTACAAAGTATGTAGGAGACTCTTCTAAGGGCTGAGGATGTCCAGTCCAATTTGTAGACTTGCCTAGTATTCACAGGGCCCTGGGTTGGATGCTACACACTCACGTCAACCTGGAAAGACTGGTATGGAGGCACATACCTGAAATCCCTGACTCACTCGGGAGATGCAGGCAGGAAGATCAGAAATGTGTGCTTATCTTTTTACCTGCATAGTTAGTACAAAGCTGACCTGGGCTAGGGCTAAGCGGTGTAACTCAGCTCCCATAGTGCAATCTCTACACACCTGCCCAGTGGGTCTTCACACTCAAGGTTTATGCCTGTTTGACAGAAGAGGAAACTGAGAAAGTTCACTGCCTCACAGAGCCCCAACTGTATAGGGGCCCCTTTGTGTTCTCTCTTTAGCCTGGACAGTCATGGTGTGTGTGTGTGTGGGGGGGGGTAATGAGTGGCCCTTTCTGACCCTCTCCGAAGCCTGGAGAAGGACTTGATGAGCAATCTGAGGAAATGCATCAGGCCTGAAAAGTACTTCAGACCTGACCTGTCCTTGCTGCCCTTAATTGTCGAAAATCCTTTTTATTGAATTATCAGAGTGTAATGGGAGAGTCAATAAGAGTCATCACTGAGTTCCAAGGCCAATGCTTGCTGGGCAGAAGAAATCAAAGCCCCAAAGACTCCCTGCACCCAGCAATGATATGAAATATGTATTTTTACATAACTGGAAGAAAAAAAAATAAACGACAAGGCTGCCCCATGGGGGAAAACGCCTTTCTTTATTTCCATTATCTTGTTCAGTGTGGGATCTGGGCAGGAGCTTCAGTGGGAAAGGAAATACCAGAGCCCTCTCCCTCTGAGCCTCCTGGTGGGCTAAGAGGCAGAGGGAGCCAAGAAGCAGAAACCTAAAAGGCTGCTGGGTGTGTGCTTGGAAAGCCATTAAGCTGGAGGGGTCAGCCTCGGGTAGGGCTGGCAGAGACAGTGTGGGTTAGGGACAGCCTCTACAGATGAAGCTGTGCTTCTTGTGGGCTCAGTCAGGCTCACCATTAGCTTCATGGGAAATACTGTAAACCTGACTCTCCCCTGGGGCAAGTCATAGAGTTGGGCTTTTCAAAGGCACAACCCTTACACCTCCTCGGTGATTGGTTTGGCTTCCAGCTCATTTGTACAGATGAGGACACTAACTTGCCAAAGGTCACACAGCCAGTGACTACAAGAACATTATTTTGTAATTTTGGGTTGCTTGTTTGAGACTCTCAGGGCTCAAACTCAGTATGTAGCTGAGGAGAATGGCCTTTAAGTTATGATTTTCCTGTCTCCACCTCCCAAATGCTGGGATTATAGTAGGTAACACCATACCTGATTTAGATAGTACTGAGGGTGGAACCCAGGGCCTCATTCATGTTATGTATGTACTCTGCAAACAGCCACATTCCGCAACCTCTGTTCTGTAGTTTTGTCAAAGCCTGGATCAATAGGAGCCAGAGGTCCCTTAGCATTATAGCCAAGCCACTCAGACATGGCAGGCCACAGACAGACAGGGAAACTGTCTGATCTAATGTTTGTCTATCTTATTTTTGATCCTAAAATTAGGTACCAGGGACAAAATTCTCTGAAGAAAGTGTTGGTGACCGTGGTATGGCTATGGCATTAAAAGCCTCAATCCACCTGGGAGTGTTGGTGCACATCTTTAATCCCAGCACTAGGGAGGCAGAGTCAGGTGAGTTCCAAGCCAGCCTGGTCTACATAGTTCTAGGACAGCCAGAAACAAACAGCTTCTATGGAGCAGAAAAGCTTGAGTTCTAGTCCTTTTTTTTTGAGACATGGTTTGTCTGTGTAGCTTTGGAGACCAGGCTGGCCTCGAACTCAAAGAGATCGCCTGCCTCTGCCTCCCAAGTGCTGGGATTAAAGGCTTGCACCACCACCACTTGGCCCTAGCCTTATTTATTTATTTATTTATTTATTTATTTATTTATGTTTCATGTATTTGGTGTTTTGCTTGCATGTTTGTCTCTGTGAGGGTGTCAGATCCCCTCGAACTGGAGTCACAGTTGTGAGCTTCCATGTGGATGCTGGGAATTAAACTCTAGTTCTGTGGGAAAGCATCGAGCCACCTCTCCAGCTCTGAGTTCTAGTCTTTTACTTCCTACACAATATTAAGCAAGTTGTAAGTAAATAACAGATTTGAGAGATTCTGAAGCTTCTATTCCAGCTCAACATTAAAAACTGATGGATGTCAAAAAACAAAACAAAACAAGCTGGGCGGTGGTGGCTCACCCCTTTAGTCTCAGCACTTCGGAGGCAGAGGCAGGTGGATCTCTGTGAGTTTGAGACCAGCCTGGTCTACAAGAGCAAGTTCCAGGACAGCCTCCAAAACCACAGAGAAATCCTGGCTTGAACATTCCCCCAAACCCAACCCCCCCAAACAAACAAAAACAACAACAAACTGATGGATGTCAAAAAACCAAACCAACCAACCAAAAACAACAACACAACCCTGATGGATGTGTGATGCATGCTTGTAATCCCAGTATTTAGGATGCTGATGCAAGAAGATCCTAAATTTAAAGCCAGTCTGGGTTACATAGGAAGAATTTGTCTCAGAAAAACAGATAAACATGAGCCAGTTGTAGTGGCACATGCCTTTAATCCCAAGCACTTGGGAAGTAGAGACAGGTGGATCTCTGTGAGTTCCAGAGATCCAGGACCAGATCAGTCTACATAATAAATTCCAGGATATTGAGGGCTATATAGAGAGACCCTGTCTCAAACAAACAAGCAATAACCAGACAAACAAGGGGCTGAAGAGATGGAGTAGCAGTTAAGAGGACTTGTTTTTCTTCCAGGGGACCAGAGTTCAGTTTCCAGCTCCCACACTGGGCAGCTGAAAAGTGCCTATAATTTCTGCCCCAGGGGATTCTAATCCATTGGATATACTCCCTGATTTACTAGCCTGCTGAAAACGGAAGTTAAAAGAAGAGATTTTGTAGGACGGTGGTGACACATGCCTTCAATCCCAGCACTCGGGAGGCAGAGGCTGGCGGCTGGCGGTGTGAGTTTGAGACCAGCCTGGTCTACAAGAGCTAGTTTCAGGACAGCCTCCAAAGCCACAGAGAAACCCCGTCTCGAAAAAAACAAAAAACAAAACAAAACAAACAAACAAAAGAATAGATTTTAGTGGGGTATGGTATTTTTAGTTCCACCCCAGAAGTGGGGAAGCTGAGACTACTACCGGGCTACATAGCAAGACCATGTCTCAAAAGGGAGTGGGACAGATGTTAGAACATTAGATGACTAGATGAGCCTGATCTGGTGGCTCACTTACGCAATCCCAGCGTTTGGGAGGCGGAAGCAGGAGGATTGCTTGGGCTACCTAAAACAGTTCCAGGCCAGTTTTGGCTGGAAAACAAAGAAAAAGAAAAATCAAAAAGAAAAAACCTCAGGCTATAGAGAGATGGCTCAGCCAGTAAAGGCTGATGATGGGAATTCAATCCCGAGACCCCTTTTTGGCAGAAGGAGAGAACTGACTCCTGCAGCCTGTCATCTTATCTCCACACCGGCTGTGGCGCGTGCGTTTGCGAATATAAACAACATATAGCTGCACACACACACACACACACACACACACACACACACACACACGTACACGCGCGCTAAGATGTTTTTTAGTTTTTAATCCTGAAGACAAAGTAAACCAAACCAAACAAACCCCTCCGACCAAACACAATAAAGAAAAACGAAATGAAAACCTAGATGAAGAGTAAAGTCCTTTGTAATTCCAAGTTACAATGACTGGGCTGGGATTCCAACGTATGAATATGGACTAGGAAGTCTCCTCAGCCCGGCCCCATGCCACCAACTACAATTAAGGGTGGAGGAAGTCGAGGGCCGCAAGGCTCCTTGGCTGCCACCTGCAGGTGCGTCCTCAGCCAATCAGTGGAGCCGGGGGCGGTGCCTTCAGGCTCACCTGGCGGCCGCAGCCTCTGCCTGGCTCAGTGGAGTGGGGAGCAGCGACGTCTCAGTGAGTTCTCGGAAGTTCTGCCAGACTCCAGCCCGGCCTAACCTGGCCCTGCCCGACCGCACCCGAGTTCCGTGTTTGCTCGGCGCCCGCCCGGCCAGCCATGAGATCCCCGCGCCGCAGCCTCTCCGCGATCCTGTTCCTGCTGCAGGTACTTGGAGTGTCCCGACTCCCGGCAGGACGCCTTCCGGCCCTGCGACCCGCTTCGCTGTGCCTTTCTTTCTGCCTGCTGCCATCCCTCTTTCCTTCTTCAAAAAGTTGGGGTCCAGAGGCGCGGGGCTGAGTGCTGTGGAGTGGGAGGGGGGTCCAGGCGAGCGCAGAGTGGCCGCCTCTCCCGCAGGGTCCCAGGTGGGGGCGCGCCACGCTGCGGGCTCCCGGGACCCCGAGTTGAGCAGGGTCCCGCTTTAAGGCGGGCAGAGGGGCCATGGAGCAGGACGGGGTCCTGCATGAAAAAAGGGTGGGGGGCAGAAGCAGCGCGGACGATCCGAGGTAAGGAAAGGGACTTTAGTAGCATAAAAGCACCTGCCGTGGAAAGAGGGGACACGGTAGACTGGGGGTGGGTACTCTCTGGAGTAAGAAAGAGGAGTCAGAGGGTGTTTGCGATCTAAGGAAAGTGGTGTCCGGAAGAGTAAAGGCGTCTCCAGTGTGATGCAAATGGAGTCAGGCAGTAAAGGTAGTCTAGGCTGAGAGGTGGTGACCCTAGCAGTCCCCTCCCCCAAGGGTTCTTGGAGTTTTGTGGCTGTTTTCGGGTTGAGAGGGTGGCGTCCCTGTCTGCCCCGAGGAGGGTCCTCCCACAATCCCGAAACCTCAGGCGAGGGAAGGGTTACGTTGGTGGTTTCGGTGCGGGCTTCCCCAAGTCACCAGGTTGCTTACCTTTCCTCCACCCCAGGTCTCATCATGGCTCTGCCAGGAGCAGGAGCCCGAGCCCTGCCGCCCCGGCTTTAGTGCCGAGGTCTACACGTTCCAGGTGCCGTGGAGGCACCTGGAGAGAGGCCACCTCCTGGGCAAAGGTAAGGGGGCTCTGTTGGTGGGCAGAGTTGGGTCGGGTGGGAAGGAATGGACAAAACTCTCCTTTGGGATTTACGCCGACTTGGAAGTCTAAATATATGAATTGTGGTTGATCAAGGTAGATTTGTCTGACTGTGCTATTTATACAAGGACAGGGATGGGCCAAGGATATTTAGAGGTTATCAGTGTTTCTCTGACTTATTGCTGGAGCCAGCCTATCATTTTAGACCGCCAAAACCTGCTGGGTAGGGCCAGTTTGCCGATATTCCCATTTAATGATCAGCAATCTGAGGCAGGGCAGGCATCTGAACCGGGATTTGACTCCCACTATTTAGGCAGTCACTGAGGAACTGGCTCTTAAGTGACCTGTGGCTTTTGTTCATAGAGTTGAAAATATTTGATATAAGTTTGGCTTCTTCTCTTCTGGAACTCACTCTGTAGACCAGGCTGGCCTCGTTAGAAAAAGATGGTAGCACTGACTCATACATGCAAGCACTCAGTATATTTCAAGTCTTATCTCACTGTGATAATCTAGAATTTTCTTTGCTTCCCTGTTGGGCATGGCTGGGAGCAAGGCAATGCCCAGGTTTTTATACTGGCTTCCCTATTTTTTGTACCAAAACCTCTCATGATAGAATATATATATATATGAAAAGTCACTCAATCCCTCTGACCCTCTGACCAAGTTTGTCCTTCCAGCCATAGGCCACCAAAAATGATGGTGGTGTCTAAAATTCTGTTGTTAACTTTGGAAGTTGTGCCCAGGTTTGCTGATGTGTTTTACAGAGAAATAGCAGCTCCATTGGTTAGTTGTATTTGCTTTCTGAGACCTGACTGGTTCTGTGGAGCTTTCTCCGGCCGAGGAAGGCAGTGCTGTCCTGTGACCCTGAGGTTGGAGTGGTCAATGCTTGCCCAGCCTATTTCTACTTGCTGTCCATCTGAGGAATAATCTGAGCAGGGATAGGTTGCTGAGAGCATTTTAGGAGACCCTTCAGTGGCACTTTGGGACAGGTTAGTGAGGTGTGGGTGGCCTGGGATGTTTCCAAGGGTACCAGTAGACTTCTGGAAAGATACCACCCAGTCTTGAGCTGTGCAGGATTAGACATGGGAATTCGTTGAGTATATAGTATTAGGTATCATAATCCAAGGGATGGTAGTTTTTCCTTTGGCATGATGACACATTGTTGTTCCTTAGTTAGGATGGTATTTGTGTGCATTAGGAGTGTTGAGGATCAAACCCAAGGCCTGCTACATGCTAGCCAGGCACTTTACTACCAGTCTATTGGTGTTTTTGTTTTTGTTTTTGAGACTAGATCTCTTTCGTGAACTGGGCTAGTCTGAAATTCACAATTTTCTCCTGCCTCAGATTTGAGTGCTGGGATTATAGGCTTACCTTGGCACTAGTCTTGCTTTTATTTTGCACATCTAAGCTCTAGTGTCCTGTTCATAGTGACATAGTATCACAGTTATGCTCCCAACTGTAAAAATGAGATCTTCTGGAAGGTGGACACCATTCTAAGCCTTATAGAAAGAACTCAGGGGCTTGCCTGGCTTCTGTATTGTCTGAAGCATCTAAGACTAGTCTTTTTCTGTTTGGTTCCTTTTTCTCTCAGAAAGAGGGTGGGGGCAAGTGAGAACTGAGCCTTGGTGTGGTGGTTCATCCCTATAATCGGCACTTAGGAAGCTGAAGCAGGAGGGTTGCTAAAAGTTGTAAGTTTGAGGTTAGCCTGGTCTATGTAGTGAGTTCTAGACTAACCTGCGATACAGAGTGAGATCAGAATTTTTCTAGAAAAACAAGAAAGAAAAGAGGTAGAAAGGAAGGAAGGGTTGAAGGAAGGGCAGGGTATGTGTGCCTGTGTCTGGGGAAAACAGGGTCCATTGTAAAACAGACTGAGGACAGAGCTCTTGAGGTGGGGGAGCTGAGAGCAGCTGGTGATGATGGAGATGGAGCTTGTCCTGTAGGAAGTGGTTTGGGTGGAAGTGGCAGCCTCCTCACACTATCCCACAAGCTTCCCTGTGGCTGGTTCCAGTTCCCTTTATGGCTGAGGCTCCAACACTACCCATAGGGCTCTAATTGCTACAGTAGAGTGTGGAATTGCTCTAGGTCACACAATATACCCCAGGAACTCTTTGAGTTGCCTAGATTTAGAAAGGTGGTGTCACTCTCTTTGGACCTCTGCTGGAAATGAAGGATGTGTGGCATTGGCTCCCAGCTCTACTATACAGGCTCCTGCAGAGTTTGCTGCCCAGAAGTTTGGAAATAAGAGACCTGACAAAGGTGGCTAAAAGGTCACAAATAGGGTCTGATTGAATGGAGGGCTTTGCAGTTTGCAAGCATCATTCCTATGCCACATGAGCTTGACACCACAATTTCAGCCTTGTAGATTCTTTCACTGGCTTCTAGAATGCAGAATCTTAAACAAAAAGAAAACCCCTTCCACTATCTAAGCGTATTCTTTAGTTAGATTGAATTATTTTTTCTGTTTTTGTTTTCTTTCCCTTTTTTTTTTTTTTTTTCTTTCCCCAAGACAGGGTTTTCTCTGTGGCTTTGGAGGCTGTTGTGGAACTAGCTCTTGTAGACTAGGCTGGTCTCGAACTCACAGAGATCTGCCTGCCTCTGTTTTTCTTTTCAAGACAGGGTCTTACTTAATGTAACCTTCGCAGGCCTGGAATTCACTACTGTAGACCAGGCAGGCCTTGAATGAAATTCCCTTGCTTCTGTTTCCTGAGTGCTAGGAGGCAGATACCAGTTCTGGCTGTTCTGTTTTTGTTGTTGTTTTTGGTTTTTGAGACAGAGACTTTGGTAGCTCAGGCTGGACTGGATCTTGTTATGTAGCAATGGATGCCTTTGAATTTGTGATCTTCCTGCTTCTACTTCCCCAGTGCTTGGATTACAAGTGTACACCACTATGCTGGTTTTTGTTGTCTGCTTTTAAGTCAGTTCTGTGCTTTTATTTTGTTTTTAAAATATGAAGCTCTTCACAAATTTTTGGTCATCCTTTTTCAGGCCCTATGCTAATCTCTATTCCATTCCAATTTTAGTCTATGTGTTGCTGAACGGAGCACTCTTTGTGTGTGGTTTTTTTTTTTGGTTGTTGTTTTTGTTTTTTTCGTTTGAGACAGGGTTTCTCTGTAGGTTTAGAGACTGTCCTGGAACTCTCTGAAGACCAGGCTGGCCTCGAACTCACAGAGATCTGCCTATCTCTGACTTCCGAGTTCTGGGACTAATAAAGGTGTGTGCCACCGCCGCCTGGCAAGGGTTTTTTGTTTTTTGGTGTTTTTTGTTTGTTTGTTTGTTTGTTTGTTTGTGTGAGACAGGGTTTGTCTGTGTAACAGCCCTGGCTGTCCTGGAACTCACTTTGTAGTTCAGGCTGGCCTCAAGCTCTGCATCCTGAGTGCTAGGGCTAAGGGCATGAGCCACCACACCTGGCTTCTTTGTGGTTTATTGAGACAAGGTCTAACCCACAGTGAAACTCACAGTATAGCCCAGTTTAGTCTTGAACTCATGGTAATCCTCCTGCCTCAGCCTCCTGATTACTGACAACAGCAGCCAAATCTAGTTTAAGCTGCTTCTTTTATAATTTACTATTTTTTTTTATTGTATAAAAAAATGGTGTTTTGCCTGCTAGTCTCCTGTATATGGGAATCAGATCCCCTGAAACAGGAATTGCAGGCAGCTGTGAGCTGCCAGGTGGGTGTGGGAATTGAACCTGGTCCTTGGAAGAGCAGCCAGTGCTCTTAACCGCTGAGCTATCTCTTCAGCCACAAGCTGCTTAGCACAAACTTTTCAGAGACCCAGTTTTGCCTCTCAGAGATACTAGACAAATATACAGGTTTACATCTGTGAGGAGTGAGAAAGAGAGCTGACAGGCCCCTTTAAATTGTTGGCTTCTTCCCATAGATTTCTTTACAACTTCTGTAAGACAAACAGGTCTATTTTGGGCCTGGCTTTGGCCCCCATTTATTTATTTATTTATTTATTTATTTATTTATTTATTCATTCATTCATTTATTTACATGTTTTATGTACATTGGTACTTTGCCTGCATGTATATATGTGTGAGGGTGTTGGATTCCCTAGAGCAGGAGCTACAGACAGTTGTGAGTTGCCATGTGGTTGCTAGAAATTGAACCCAGGTCCTGGAAGAGCAGCCTGTGCTCTTAATTGTTGAGCCATCTCTCCACCCTGGCTTTGGTCTCTTGATTGACCTAGTTCCCAGGTATCCACCTGGGTGGACTAAATACACCCATTTCCTCTCCTTTTGAAGGCTGTGCTGAGAGCTGCCAGCAGACAGTGAAAAAAGCAAGCATGGAACTGCTTTAAGATCACCTTACATCATCAGATACCCACCTCCCACCCCCAGCCTCCTAAAATTACTCATGCCTGTGACTAGGTCTAATGCAGGCCTTCCTAGGAAGGAGGCTAGTGGATGCCTTTGTGCCTCCTGAGGAGTGGAGGTGCTAAGGTTGCAGGCTAAGCCAGGCCATTTATGGAAAGCCACCTCCGGCTGCTGCCAGGTGGATATGGAAATCCCTGTTTACTCTCTGCGGCTTTTTATTGGCTGAAATGGCTCACCTTGGTATCTGTTACACATTCCCTTCCAAGAGCAGCCCTAGATAAGCCAGGTGTGGGGACAATCAGCTCTTGATATCTCTTAGAAGCTGCCAAACCCCCAAATCAGCAAGAGATACCCACCATAGTCCAGACTCAGCCTTTTGGGGTTCTATTCTGCCTCACCTCATCCTTAGTGAGAAAGCACAGAAAGATTCAGGGTTGAACATAAGTAGTTACTACCAATATGACTTTACATAAGTCAGTTTAACTTCTGTGAGACTCAGTTTACCCATCTGTTGAGTAGGAGAATCACATACATTTGTTATGTTATATCATTAATGCATATTTGGTGAGTAAAAACAGGTGCTAGTTGAGTGGAGTATGGGCATCTGGCTGTCCATATTGAGTTGCTGTTTTATGCCAGCACTAGGCTAACTTGGGGAATATGGCTGAAAATAAATATGGGGGTGGGGAAGACAGCACAAGTAAGAAGGGCCAGTGAGCTGGGCATTTAGGAGGAAGAACCAGGCGGATCTTTGGGTTCCAGGACAGCCTGGTCTACACAGAGAAACCCTGTCTCAACAAAGAAAAAGTTCAGTCAGATGACTCAGTGGGTAAAGGCACCTGCCACCAAATCTGAAGATTGGATGAAAGGACTCCTAAGAGTTGTCCTCTGACCTCCACACTCATGCAACGAATGTGCACACAAAAT